CTAGCTTCAGGCTTCAGGTTCCAGGTTTTAGCTCCAGGTTTCAACTTAAGGCGCCCTGATATGGTTATATGGGATATGTAGTTACTGCAACGGGTTTTTGTACGTTTTACTGCCGTTGCATGCCGCTTGCATTTGAAAGTTAAATTACGGTAGCGATATCGGAGCAGACATTCCGTTAATTGGCCGCACACAACCTGAGATCAGGCTGCTGTCTTCGGGTTTTTCTTATTTTTGTTTTTCTTATGTAGTTTGCCCCTGCCAGTCAGGAATACACTTTTAGGAGACTGTGTAGTATGGGTTACTAGGAAAAGAATATTTGGGAAACTCAAGAAGTTGCTTGTTTGGTTGTTGAGGATTTTTCCTAAAATTCTGAGATCTTAGATGATAAATCTATGTCGAGAGAACAAATTCGATATGATATAATGACCAATATCATATGAAATATATTTTCAACATTAATATATCGAAAAATATTGCAAATCAAATATATTTGCATATTTGATATATCGAAAAATATCGTATTTAACTTTAAAATATCGATAATAAATCATATTTTATATGGGAAATATTTACAAATTTTTATTCAACTATAATTTTAGTCAGAAGCAAAAAAGGCATTGAAGGAATCATTTCCGACCCTATATGTCATATATATTCTTGATCAGCATAAACAGCCGAATCGATCTAGCCATATTTGGTGCGAACATTTTTTTTTAAATTTTTTGTTCAAAATTTTGTCATTAAATTTGACATGTTAACAATATCAAAATTTGACAAAAATTTAATTTCCTTAAATTTTAAAAGTCAGGATGAAGATTTGTTAACCTAATAAAAACTAGTATAGAACAGCTTTCCGAATAGAAATTTATGCATTTTTGGCTTAGTTATGATACTTTTAAACTTTGATTTATAGAGAAAATTGTCATATAAAATATAAGATAATATCGAATCAAATAAGGGTATTATAATTTCAGTCAGAAGACTTTTAAGCAGTGAAGGAGTCATTTCCGACCCCATATTTCATATATATTCTTGATCAGCATGAAATGCCGAATCGATCTAGCCATTTTTGGTAGAAAAAAATTTTTTGAATTTTTTTTCTCAAAATTTAATGCTGAAATTTTACATGTTACCAATGTCAAAATTTGAGAAAAATTTAATTACGTTAAATTTAAAAACCAAGAATGTAGATTTGTTAAACTATTAAAAACTAGCATAGAACAGCTTTCCGAATTAAAATGAGTGCGTTTTTGGCTTAATTATGCGTGTTTTAAACTCTCATTTGTCTAAAAAATTGTCATATAAAAATATCGATAAATATCGATGCAAGGAATGCGAATGTTTTAAGTTTAGTTATGATCGACTATCGATTTGATTCTATAATTCAATTGCAGACTGCAAGGCTATATATAATTCGACTTTCCGAAGGTGTTTTTCTTTCTTTTTTAACTTATTTTATAAATATAAATAACATAACTTTATTTCTTGAAGCATCATACTGTAAGTGTATTTATACTTCGTTGCTTTCTTGTAATCTTAGTTTCTTGGTGCCTTATTTTATTTTATTTTTTTTTGGCTATTCCCGCTTTACAGTTGCTGCAAAAATTGTTGCAAATTGCAGTTTAAAAAGTTTCCGTGTTGGTTTTTTTTGTCGTCTTGTCGTTGTTGTAGTCGTCGGCGGTTGCAACTAATATGAGTCATAAATTTAAAGGCTTAACTCGAGGCTAAGGCGGCGGCTGTGCAACTGCAACTGCAACTGCAACTGCAACTGAAGCTGTGCCCGTTGACAGGGATTTTTAAAATGAAATAAATAAACGGCATTACAGCTAGTTATATGCAGCGATCAGGGTCTTTGAGTGCTGAGTGTTGGCGTGGAAGCTGGAATATTAAACTGAATGTGAACTCAACTGGGTCTGGGGCTGGGCCACAAGTCGTCCGGTTACTTTTGCATTTGCTGCACGAGACGAAGCCATTGGCAATTTTTTTATTGATACAGATACAGCCGAAATTGGGGTCCGCCAAAAAAACCAAAAAAATACTTCAGAAAACAAAAGGAAATAAGAGTAAAGTCTGGTTTGGTTTTTGGTTTTTGCCGCAGCATGACATCATTTTTGATTTGCTGCAGCAGCCCTGCAACATCGAGACAAATAACACACACAAAAAACTGGTCGCTGTTTTACTTTCGCTTTATTTCTCGTATTTCCTTTCTGTTTTCAGATGATTCCATTTATTTCTTATATATTTTTTTGGGTCATCGCGAAGAAGTACCCACTTATATGGCAATGAAATCGAAACCGTAACCGTGTTCTGGTGAAAGTCGTCTCGAAAAAACGAAATCGAAAACGCATAACAAGTGCATAAGTTTAGCAGAGGAGATCTTTGTGGACCACATGGTCGGTTTGGTCTTGGCCAAGTCATGGATTGTGTCATGATGCGTGGGCCAAAATCGCCCACAAAAGACCAAAAAACTAATGATGATGATGGCTCAGAGACACAGGTACAGGTTGGCACTGACTTGGCTTCGTGTCTTCATCAACTGATCATCAACCAAGCAATGCCCACACACTATGGCCGCATTTGGAACCACCAAAGATCAATGCAAAAAAATAAAAAATCAAAAGATTTGCGAACTCGAAATTAATTAGAATTTTGTGTGTGGCTTTGACTATTGGCTCTCTCAGTTGGTGGCTGGGAAAAGACCTTGAGCGGCGGTTCAACAGTCTACAGATTGTGTGTGTTGGTTGAATGAATGAAAAATTGAAACTATAGTTTGGAGGCAACTGAGTCACTGAGAGCTAAAAGAAGAGTATCCATCCTAATAAATCTTACTGAAGGGACTGCCATGACTTACGAATTACACAAAGCAAATTTTAGGGGAATCAATCAACCGATTTCGCCAGTTTCTTTTATTCGTTTCATGAAAGCTGCTGGAAATCTCTTTCCCACGGGTTTCACTGGCCAATAAAATTGGCATTTTATTTGCATTCAATAAATGTTTCATTGGTTAAATGTCTAGTTTGTGTCTGCATTCATTAGTTTAGACAGAGTGCAATTTATGGGGAAAAGTTGTTAGTGAAAAGAATTAACTAAAAGTTATAGATAAAAAAGATATTCAATCTTTTGATACATTATAGAAAAAGTAAAGCCTCAATGAAGCTGCTGCTTACTGGCAGCAAAGACATCAAGTTCGTGTCTTAAGTCTTTTGATTTGGCTCATAAATTTCGCAATCCAAGAAGAGAAAAAAGGGAGATTGCATTTAAAAATTTCTCGTGCGCAAAACTGTGAAATATTTGTCGCTCTTTTTTACAGCATTTATCTTTGCAAAAGAATCTCAAGCGAAACATTCACTTTAAGCTTTATACATATATTTCTTTTCTTTTGGGTTTGACTCACTTAATTGCGGCAATTTCTTTCGCCCACGCATTAGCTTGTGAGCTTTGGCTCATAATTTATAGTCATTATTATTGTAATTTCTCTCTCCAAAAAGCAGACAAACGCAGCAGCAAACAGATCGCACGCAAAACAATAATACATAAAGTGAAAGTTTTGCACCTTTTGCCGCGGCAAACGCATCATCAGCATAAACAATCCAACCAAAACAAAAGTAAGTCTGTGGGTCTGGGAGTTAGGAGTTAGGAGATGATATGATATGGAATGAGAAGAGTTGAGCCCACGTTGGGACCAAGACAATGGCTTACAAATGACTGGCAGCTAGTTCAAATACGAAACTGCCTGACAAATGAGACGGCGCCGGCGGTAACTTTTTCACTCGTGTTTTGCATCTTATGTTAAAGATATCTTCAGGCTTCATCAATAAGCCGAAAAAACTCGCTTGTACATACAAAAAAAACAGCTTTTGCCTGGCAAATCCCCTAAAAAGAAACGATTTTGTGACCTCCTAGAGGGTCTCTTTGAGCTAAGCTTTCTTTTGCCACCTCTTTAAAGTGTGTCAAGCGAGTATTTGAAGCAATTATTTGTCATATTTTCTATTTGCGTTTTATTTTTTGGTTTCGTTATTTCCCCAAAATGAGATGCAGAGAAAATAAACAACATTAGCGTGGATGTGGATGTGAAGAGGAGCCCCTGACCGCCAGTGACAAGGCGTCTTCTGCGTATTCATCATCATCTTTCAACTCATCAGAAATCACAATGACTTTGGACCTGGGATCTTTTTGCACAAATGAAAGTGAATGTTTCTTTTTGGGTTTTGTTATTATTATTGTTGTGTGTTTGTGTGTTGTTTTTTGCCACATTTACAGTTGCTATTTTAAAGCTTAAGTCTGCACTTGGTTGGAAAAAAACAGAAAATCAACGGAAATTTGTCAAGTAAATGTTGAATGCCAACGGTTTTTAAGGTTGTTGTTTTTTTTTGGGATTTTATTTGTAGGGTTTTATGTAAGAGGTATTCATTGTCAAAGGCAACTAGAGTTATAAGACGATTTAAAGACTATATATATCTTTAAGAAACTAACCTACCTACCTACAGTCAGTTATAAAAAGATTCAAAGACTCTATATATCTTTAAGAAACAGGATAAATATCTTTCAAAATTTTTATAAAAAGGAATTTATATTTGTCTGAAAAAACAGTCAGAATAATAGAGAAAAAAGATTTAAAGACTTTATATATCTTAAAGAAGCTGGTTAAATATCTTGAAATATATTTAAAAAAAAGGAATTCATATTTGTCTTGAAAAACAGTCAAAATAATCGTTTCCAACTGTCTAAAGTCACTTGTAATTATTTTTTAAACCTAAAAATAATATTTTAATTGGTGCCAGTCTTTTGCTGTTCTCTACAAATTATTGTAAATCATATTTAAACTGTTTTTAACCATTTACTAAATTAAATAATCAAGCTAAAGTCTGCTTTTACTTCTTCTTTTACCCTTTCTCCCCTAAAAAACCCATCAAAACTCCATCAAATTTTAATACCAATTAAAATGTTTTATATTCCACTTAAAATTTGCACTTTGTAGATGGCAAAAAAATTATGCTTACCATTTTTTTCATCCAGTTTGGGCCAAAATCAGTTCATACTGCCAACAGCTGCCAACGAAGAGCGACGAAAAGCCAGCAAACGTTGTTTTTTTGTTGTTTCTTAACTTGGCTGCTGCCAAAAGCAGCTGCCAAAAGCGATTTGCCGTCAAAAGCACAGCGTTTTACACACACACACACACACTTTTGTGGCCAGACACTGGAATATTTTTTTTTAATATTTTTTCCTCTTCTATTTAAGAAAATTTTAAACGCTTTTCTTTGAAACACTTTTAATCGAATTTCTTTGCGCGCGTTTGGTTTTTCGGAATTTTCACAAGGCAAAAACTTTCACTGCAATTAGAGAGAGATCCCTCATATAAGCAAATAAGGCAATGATCTTCGCTTGGCCAAGATTTATGATGCAGTTGCTCCGTCGGCACTTGACACACACACACTCTGGGAAACAGAGAGAGAGAGAGAACCGCACCGCACGCGCGCTGGAAACGAACTGAATGTGCGGAGCCACCGTCAGTGGTTACCTGGCTCCAGGTGCTCCCAAGCTCCGAGCTCCGAGCTGGTGTGTGTAAGAGAGTGTTTAAATGTATCTGTATCTGTATCCGTATCTGTATCTGTGGCTGTTAGGCAACTTCTGCTGCCCACACTTTTGCTGGTCCATTTTTGGCTTGGACCAAGAGAAGAGAGGGAGAGACGCCTTTGCAGAAAATGTATTATGAACGATTTGTGGCCAGGTTAGCTTTTGATATTTGATTGACGTAATTTCTGTGCTTGATATTCACTTGAATTTCTTGTATTTCCACATTTAACTGTTTTGGTGTCAGGCGCACATTACACGCCCACAGCACCCACACACACTCGCACACCCCTCTGTAGGTGTTTCTTTTATATTTTTTATATATACATATATTTAATTTTGTTTCAAGTCTTCAAGAGTTTTGTGAACTTTCGCTTGGCACGGAACTGAATGGTATGACATGTGGGTGTGCTGAGCAGACCCTATAAAGCCTAATTTAGAGCTTGACTCACTCGATTTGCTTGGCTGGCTTGCTTATGCTAATTAGATTGAGATTAAACTTTGGTATTTAAGTCGAAAAAGTAAAGAAACGAAAGACTTAGGCAACGAACTTGATGAAATCAAAGAACCAGCTGACCTAGCTGGCTTTTGGTTCTGAAACAGGTCAGGTCCTTATCGTCCCTTTATCTTTATTGCAATGAAGTAATTTCCGCATGTACAAAAAAAGAGTTCTCCTTTTTCTGATCTTACGGTAACCATTTTCCTTTATTTTTTTGTTTTTGCTGCCTTTTTGAGGAACGCCCCCCTTGCACATTCATTTCTACGCCCCGCAATTATTTCAGGCCGCAAATGAAGTATGAAGAAACATAAAGGCAAAACGTGTGGCCCATACTAAAGATGGCTAAAAGCAGCAGTTTTTTAAAAAACAAAACCTTAAAAAAAGGGTACAAAATTAACAGGCATAATTAAAAATGTACAAAATTGGAAGAAGATCTTTTAAAGAAAAACTGATATAAAGAAAAGTGTGGCCAGGAAAGTGAGCTAAGTAAGACTAAAAAGTTTAAGGCTCAAAGTTAACAGTTAACTAATAATGGAAAATTGTCTTAAATATTTATAGAATATAAATAAATGAACAATGGGATGAAATCTTTTAAGAAAAAATGATATAAAGAAAAGTGTGGCCAAAAAAGTGAGCTCAAAAAGACCAAAAAAGGAAATAAATTACAGAAAAATACCTTAAATATTTACCCATTATAAACAATTGAACATAGGGACACGATTTCAATAGATAAAATGCATTAATTACATAAAACACAACAAATACATCAATTAAATTTAATAAAATCTGATCAATAAATTACATGTAATTCATAAAGTCTGTTAAATAAATTACAAGTTATTTATAAAACCCTTTTGTTATGCAAAGAATAGACATACATCACAGACAACTAACTCGAAGTTCACCTTGCTAAATAAACTATGCTAATTATTCTCATTTTCAAGATGAGCAAAGTGCCTTGTTTTATGTTCAGCACTTGACTGCTTCGGAAATTCCAAATGTAAAAACATATTTTTCTAGCCTAAGTAAACTTCATATCTCTCTTCCCCCTCATTGGCATTCCTTAGCTGGCTAATTAAATGCAACCGAGGGGAATGCAACAGAGACGAGAGGGGAAAAACCCACACGCGTCGTCTACACTTGGCATATTTAACACATTTAATGGAAAATCAACAAAACATGAGTATTTATGATGCTGCTACTTGTTCTGCGGGGCAACTTGGAGAGGCGCCACTGTCTGTCCTCCTTTGCCGGTTTGTGGCTTTATTAAGTTGCTGTTGTTGTTGCTGCTGCCTGTTGCTGTCCGTTTTTATTAATAAGTCATATTTTTATATGGTTCAGCCCCAGCCAGCCAGCAGCTTGGTAATTTATGTTGTTTGCCAAGGCAACTCCTGGCTGGAAGGATGACAAAAAGTCGAAGCTGAAGCAGGGGGAGCGCCCACCTGTATACGTGGGCATTTTATTCACAAGTCACTCACTTGACTCATTCACTCACTTTAGTCATTCCATTCATAAACTCGGAAAAATAAAAGCTCAAAAGCGTAGCTCGCTCGGTTCATTTTGTAATTAATTAAATGCAACTTTGTGTGTTTTGGAAAAATGTGTGCCACTGCAAGAGAGACATGCAACAGGTTATAGCCCCATGATGCAAGTGTTTATGGTTATTCTTTGTTATATATATTTATTTATTTGATGTTTTTACAGTGGGCGAAAGTTTGTTGCCCAAGTCTTTCGTTTGTGGGTTGCACCTTTGCACCTGCCACCTGAACCGAACCAGAAAGCAACTCAAACGTGGCCAAAAATGTCAGAAAAAACTATGTCAAATCACTAAACACATCAGTTAATTGAAGCGATTTGCGTGGATTTGCAAAAATATAATTGCAGAGTGGAGGGGAAACAAAATTCGCAAACACTGAAAAATAGTTCATGAATTGCGTAATCACTTAAACATCTAATTTCTGTTTCACAGTGTTAACACATTAAGCAAATAGCTGTGGAAGTTGTTTGCTGCACTTATTTAATCTCTTTTTTATTTATTGCATTTTTGCCGGCTTAGTTTTCACTCTCCCACACACACACACACAGCTGTTTAAATGTTGGGAAATTGCACTAAAAAATATGATCGAATCGAGGGGGGGAAGCACACACACACACACACACACACCTTTTTACTCAACAAACGGAACGCAAAACGTTTTCGACGGTTTAAAACTATTGAGCGTTGTGCACACTTGGCGGTGCGCCGGCAGACTAAAGGCTGAGAGCGGCTGCAGTTTTCCTTCTGGCCAAGTTAGTTGGCAAAACAAACAGCTGACGATCCGCTCTCCTAGTCTCTTCTTCGCTCTCTCTCTCTCTCTCTAACGAGGTAGAAAAACTAGTTTCGTTTGGCATTTGAAAATCTGTATAACAGTTAGGCAACTATAAACTGTGCTACACAGAGATTTTCAGAGAGAAATATAGAAATAGAGAGAGAGGGAGAGAGAATCTCAGTCACTAATTTGTTATTTTCATTGTATTTGTCAAGTCAACTGATAAATTGACTTGATATTGAAAATAAATTAATTATATCTTTAAAAAAAATATTGGGGTACAAGTTGAAATCGAGTTTCGTGGGATTAGGCAGGCCTTTGAAACTCTAGATAGAAGCCTCAAGCGGCTTAAAGTAATTGTTAAAATAAGTGTATTTTTGTATTAAAAAATATATATTAATAATAATATGCGAATGAGGTCACAAAATGCGTCATACCTGGTGCTTTTTCTCTGAATCTTTAGATAAAAATATAAACTTGATTTTAAATGGAAGACAAATTATTGCAAATTGAAATCAAGTTGTCTAATTGATTCAACAGGATTTCAAGATTGTGTAAATAATGATCACATATGATTTGTTATGCATTTCGATAATGATCTTTGCTCAGTATAAGATCATCAATTTATGAATGGTTTAATTAATTGAGTCAAAGTTCTTATCATAAAAGGTACAAAATTCGAAACAAAGAAGTAGGCCACTTGGGGGGATTCTGCCAGTGGGAAGATAATTAATGATGGGGATAGGGAACAGGTTTAATCCCAAAAACATGTTTCACATATGTTAGGAAAGTATTTTACTCTTTAGTATATGGTATATATTTATTTATTTCTTGCTTGTTTCACTGGTTATTTATGTAAAATATTTACTTGTACCAATTTGGTCAGTAATTTAAAAAGTTTATTGTGTCTTTAACTTGCAAAAGCAAAATGTGCAACGAATTTGCCACGCTCAATTTAAGTGTCTGCTCACGTTTTCCATATATAACATATATATGTATATATTTATTTCTTTTGAGATCTTTTTAAGCCGATACTAAAGTCTTTTGCCTGGGCTTTCGGTTTCGAGTTTTTGGCCCAGACCCAAAGTCACGTTGCTCCCATAGACGCCACGTACGCATCAATGCAGTCACAGTCACAGTCACAGTCACAGTTTTTTAATGTTTGTTGTTTGTTTGTTAATGTTTATGTTATTTTTGCATTGCTTGACTGTTTTTGCTTATTTATGTTTTCGCAGTGTCAAAAATTATTATTGCAGCTTATACTCTCCAATATTTGCGAGGGGGATGTTGTTTAAACAAATACCAGTAATTGGGCAAGGCACCTTTATGTATTTATGTATGCTAAATCCGTCTAATACTGCTCCCTCTCACCACCCTTCCCAGAAATATGATTTATGCTGCCCCCGGCATTGCATAAGTTTAAGCCTGGCTTTAAGTGAGCGATGACGTTATGCGAGGCGCGTGCTCACAGCGGCTGACCCAAAAACCGAAATAAAACTGCAGCCACTACGGTAGTTTGACGCCAACGCCGTTGAGGCGACATTTGGCTTAAATAGAATGCAAAATGTAAAAATGGTAAATACAAAGTGCTCAACCTGAAACTGCAACTGAAAGCCAAAAGTAGTAGGAGAGAAAACAGGATTTTGGGTACTCTAACATTGGAATAAGTTGAGTAGTATTTAAATTTTTCAAGTTATAAGTATGGCCTTGCAGGGTATTAACATTTCGGTCAGAAGCTTAAAACACAGTTAAAAAGTCATTTCCGACGCTATATTTCATATATA